CCTTCCCATATACACAGCTGTGGTGAGGGGTGCTAGGCTCTTCTCCAATGCTGACACACAGGGCTCTTTCACCGCCTCATGACTGACTGCTCAGAGTACCTAAAATTGGCAAAACGCGCCATCTCTTTCTGTCTCTATGCCACACTATTGCCATTCTCCTCTACAGAGCCACGTGTGGGAACTACACCTGGCTCTACAGGACAGAAGGGCGGCCCGGCAAGCAAGGACGCCAAGACCCTTGCTGTTGATACAGGGACTCAGACTACAGCCCTGCCCGTGGCACATTCCTCAGGCTTTAGGGGACAGGGAGGGCCACTGAGCAATGTTTCTTCATCTCTCCCTGGAAACCTCTGTACCTATGTTGTTTTTAAAAATATTATATACATATATATATTAGCATATTATGGGGATACAAGTGTTAAAGTTACATATATTGCCCATGCCCCTGTCCCCCCTCAAGTAAGAGCTTCATTTTTATCTATAGGGTTCTTCTTTTATTTTTTAAACAATTTACTTTAAAATTTTTTCAGACATATGAAATTAAGCTGAATAAATAAACAACTTCTGTTTTAATATACTAATTATTTTCTAGTTCCATCATTTTCTTTTTCACACGGTAAAAATCTAACCCAAATTTGAAACATTTCTGCAGATATGCTTAAGTAAAACTTCAAATGAAATATGTATGGGTTCTAATTTGAGATTTACCTTAAATCCACCTGGAGAATTATAAATGAACAGATGTTGAACCGCAGCAACAGAAATGGAAATAACACGGCCCTTTTTCCTCCTGCTTTTCTTCAAAAGGAGACTACTGATCCAGCACTCACTGAGGGCAGGCGCACTCCTGTGAGGCTGGGTGGGTGAGGCCAACTCCCAGGTGAGGTGAGTTAGGCTGATGGAGACCAAGCCGGATCCACACAGGGGCACCTGGCTGAACAAGCACTTGAACTCAGGTCTTTCTCACTGTGAAGCCTACAATTTCTACTTCCACAGACAGGCAGCTTCATTGGAGGAAGACTGCCAGACTCATAATTTGAAATGCTCTGTCTCATCCCTTGCCCTCTACCAGCATCACAGAACATCAAACCTGGGAGAGAAGGCCTCATTTCCAACATGCCCACTCTGCAGATGAGCACACACAGGCCTGGAGATATGAAGTCACTTCCCAACATCATGCAAGCTGGTAAACTACAGGGTTAGGAATAAACTCATGTTTTATATCTTTGAGGCAGTTCTCTTTCTCTACATACTACCTTATCTCTGGGTATAACAGTTCTTACTCTTCTTTCTCCTGCTTTAGTCCTTTGCTTAATAACATGTTAGAACATGCAAACGCTGACAGCATTTGGGAAGCTCTTGTAACAGCAGGGCCCAAGCACCAAAGGTCACAGACAGAGTCACTCACATGCCCCTTGCTAAGGTGCACGTCCTGCAGACTGCTCAGCAGCATGTGCTGTATTCCTGACAAGCCTGGAGAAAACGCAAGCCACATCTCAGAAGACTGCAATCATCATCATCTACTTGGATGTCACATAACTAACAATGCAAGAGTCAGAGCACTTCAAACAGAAGGCACACAGACTTAGTGTCCTATGCTGCCATAACTACCCAGTTCACAGGACTATGAGGTGAAGACCTCTGTCACCAGTGGGAATGCCTGTTTCCAGTAAGTATAATTTTGGTGTTTATGTTTACAATAACCCTATGAGGTGGACAGAACAAGCTGACAACTAGCTATTGACGGGTTTTTCAACATGCTAGTTATAACTCCTAGACAAACTGCCTAAATCATATATTTACTGAGCATTTACCATGAGCCAGGAACAAGAGACAAAAACCGAACTATAAAAAAAAGTCCTCACCCTCTATGGGCTTACAATCTGGTTGAGGAGACATGACCACATACACACACCATAAAACTCATTAAGAGAATGAGGCAAGGCAGCCAGAACTTTGCAGAGAAGAGATCCAGGCCTGTTTCCCAGTCTTTCCTTAGGCACTGAAATGTGCTCATCAGGTCCTGAATTCCTAGGAGGGGCGGGGACTCCTGCAGAGCCCAGCTGACAGCACAAGACCTAAGGGACTATTTATATCAAGAAGAGGAGAACAAGCATATGCCTTGGTGGAGCACTGAAGCAGAAGGGCCGTGGAAAGTAGCATATCTTTAAAATGCTATCTGCAGCCTACAAAAAATACCAGCTTTCCTTCCCTGAAAGACTAGAGATTAGTGTCTGTATCTTAAAGATGGAGTCTCAAAACTAGGCTTTTGGAGTGATTATAAATTCCAACCAATGTCCCAACTTCAGGCTTTCTCATTCATTGTTCTGACACAGACCAGTCTCTGTAACTTTTTGTTCATTGTAACTAATGTCTCTTATCTTTTTCAAAAACCCATAAACACATACGTGATTAATTATTTAAATTTCACCAATACGTTTGCATTTTCTTATGAAGAATCAAGCTTAAACCAGGCTTCAGTAGTAAATGAGGGAAAACTCATGAAATATTCAAAATTCTAGCACTCCTTATCTAAAAATAGTTCTACGACTCTAAACTATTACATGGTAGATACCACCCACCTCAATCTTCTCCAATGAAAAATCCAGTAAAGTGGCCAAAAATAAAAATCACTAAAATTCTAGATTTTATTTCTTAAAGAGGTGACTTAAAGTATTACAAATTATTAAATCACAAACTGTTATAGTCTATGAAGAGTTCATTCATCATACATTTCATCAAACACTACAAGTTGCTTCTCTTGAAGTATTATTATAAAAGGAATGAAATTATATCTGTCATATTTAAGAAGTATATCAAAGCTAAAGGAAATAAAATTTCTATGTCTCTCCAATATGCACAATTGTAATTAGGGTTAAAATACCAACATCAGCTCCACTTACAAGGAAGAAAATTGATTTTCATGAACAGACATTAATATCTATGAACCTACAATTTTTCCTGTCCCTTTCAAAGGACAAAAAAAAAAAATACTATAAATAATGTGACGTGGAGTTCTTACACATGCTGCAAAAACCTCTGGGAATACTGGCTTTTGTTTTTTTGTGCACTAAACTTTCAGGCAAACCTTACCTTGAAACTGAAAATGACTGCAAAAGGGTAAGAACTATCTGGACATTGTTAAAGATCAACAGGACTGGTGACAGCTACACACTATGCTGGCTTTGACCACTAGTCCAGGTCCTAAGTTTCTGACTGGTTTTCTGTAGTATTTGCCTACCTATAACATGAATGGTTTGAATAGATTTACTGCTATTTCAAGTTGAAGAAGGTATTGCAAAATAAAAGCAACATTGTGAAATACAGACTGCTTCTTCACTTTCTTTCCCCCTACCAGCAGTGGAGAAAGGCTATGCTCTCTGAATGAGATGCTATGGTCTGTATGACCCATGCAGCGATTTATTTTATTAAATTGGTAATAATGAATCTAGATTAAGAAATGAATCAAGAAAACCAAACTCCAAAGAAATAAAACAAATCTTTCCTGTGGTTAGTTTAATCAATAAAGGTTAAAACTACCCATAAGGTTTGGAAGATTAACATATAGAGTTTACCTTGAATTCAGCTAGAAAATGCAGGTGAACACATGACTTTTTCTGAAAGGCTTTCTACGCGGAACAAATAATGTTAGTAATTGTCGCACAGCCTTTTCTTTCATGATGCTCTATTGCCTGAGTCTTGGGCTGAATCTATATGAGTTGGCCACTATAGTGCATATACAACTGTGGAGTGGTGTTATTGTCTGACATACTCCAAAAAGTTCATTTCAGAGCTGCAGAAGTCAACAATGAAAGATGAAACCACACCCTCTACCATGATGAGGATCTGTTTCAAACAAAGGCTTACACTGAAAAGGAGAAGTTACACCAAGACGTCATAGGCCCTGCCACACAATGCTCAGGAATGTGGAAGTTACCGTAGGGATGCTCTAAATGCTACAGTCCGGATCCATAACCTGAATGTCCTCATTGTGAAATCCTTCTGGTACATCAGTATCCTCACCCTTTCAGTGGGATCCCAGATGAATGCATCCACATTGATTTTTTGTTTTTATACTATAACAGTGAGATTTTATTCACATTTTAAATTTCTCTAGAGTGTTCAAGTACAAAACATCACTAATTTTCAGATTTGATTTTTTGAATTAGAGAGACACTGATAAGGTAAAGATTATATGTTCATCTATGCCCTTTTGTCAGTCATCTGTGCGGCCTCACAGGTGGCGGTGCAATAAAATAGGCAGCCGGCGTGCACTCAGGCACAGGAGCAGTGCTTTCTCCTTTAAATACACTAAGTGGTCAGCCGATGCAGCAACCAATTATACTGCCCTTATACTTTTAACCAGTGAAGCTATAAATGTTAATTATGAAATCTCCCATGTCATTAAAAAAAAAAAATCTGTGCTCTGAGTCCTTATATTTTCAGTAGCTATACATTTATTCATCAATTTGGCTATGTGTATTGTAAAATAACCTTTCTTTTGCTTTTAGGCATTTTTCAAATTCACTGACCTCATTTCATCTCCTAGTCCTCCTGGAGTAAAAAAAGGTAAATACAAATGTCAAAAGAGAAATCCACCCAACAAATAACATTCCCTTACCTGCACTCTGTCATTTCTTGACTCAGAAACAACCAAGCTATTTGGACATTGAGGTTATATTGCCATTTTATTTTTTAATACTTCCTCTTTGCTTTGGATTTTTATTAGCTTTTCAATACCAACTTAGATATAGCCATATGGTTCTTATAAGGGCACTATGTCTTCCTGCTTTCAGGATGCTACCCCTTCCAAAGAGTTCATATTTGAGGTTGCAAATGGATGAGAATCAACTACAATGTCAGATGATTTTTAACTTGAGAGAGAAAAGTGTAGGCAAGGGAACCATTAGAAGTGCTCTGGGCAAACCTCAGGATGCTCTAGAAAGGAATGTCACTATCATCAAAAGAAGGGGGTGGGTGTCATTGGAAACTTTGCTTACCCCTTGTTCAGATTCCAAAAGCTCTGTTTTGACTCTGACTGCCGGCATCCCATCAAGCATTAACATTCTGTTCTCAAAGGTGTTGATATTCTGAGAATAAAAGAGAAATAAAGAAAGATTCAGCTCTAAAGCATTCAAAAGAGGACATCTGGTAGAGTCTTCCTTCATTGTAGTACATTTAGTACTGCTAACCTAATTTTTTTTTTTTAACAATGAAGCATAATTAAATGAGAATAGCAGCATAACCAATTATCCCCCCACTCTGAACTTTCATTTGAAATAATGACCAAGTAGTTGAATTAATCAGTCTGATTCTCTGACCTCTGGGGTGGAGGTCAGACTATAATAAACTGAGTATGGAAACCTTACATTAATTTATATGGGGCTGGAACAATTCATCACACTTTCCCAATAGTAAAAGGAAATATAAGGCAAGTTTCTGTCTTCTTTAGCTCTGAAGATTGTATTGTACAAAAGACATACACAAAGAAGAAAATCAGATAAAAATAATTTATATATTCTCACATTAGTCCAAGCCTAAATACTTTAAAAGCAAGATAATATAATTCTAGACATTCATTTTTTATATCATGGCAATTCTGATCAAATGAAAATTTCTACATATCAACCCCCAAGTACAAATATCTACTTTAAAAACAACCAACATAATCTTAGATTAAGAGTGAATTCTTAAGCTGAAGTTGTAGCTAAAAAACAAATAATTTGTTTTCTGGTCTGTTTGGCTCAATTTAATACCTCTTGGAAAGGAAACCCTTATTTAAAATATTGTAGCACAACTGCACTTCAAACAACATTTATAAAAAGATTAAATCAAGGTTATTTTCTACCATTGTCATTGCTTTGGGGATTTTCTGAAGCCAGTAACCTAGGAAGGGAGTCAGAGAGTCATATTTCAGTGCTCACTTAAGGCCCAAATCAGGCTCATATTTTAAAACATGTTTAGAATGCCAACTTTACTGACTAATAAACTGATAAGATGAAATTTGACTGAGTTTCTAGAATGGTTATTTTTGCTCAATTACAAAATATGACCATATGACATTAAAGTGGTCTTATTAACAGAAAAAGAAAATCCGTTTCTAATTGAGAAAAAAAGATCAGTTTCTAAATATTTTGCCTACATGGTGAAAAAGATTAGAAAAAGATAATTTCTAAACCTTTGGGTTTTCACCTTTCGTACAGTTTCTTTTCTACCAAATAGAAAGTTAAATAAAAACAACTCCCATTTCAACAAATCATAAATTACATGTTTTATTACCAAATAATACCAACAGAGTGCAGTATAGTGAAGCTCTAATTATTTCTCCTATTTATTGACTATTCTTTTTGTTTAAGAAAAATGCTCTAAGAGATAAAATTTATAGGGCCTCGTATCACAAATATTTGCTCTAAGAAATCAACAAGAAAAAGCAAATTGACTCTAGAGTTAACTAATGAGCATTTTAAAAAGTCTATGCCACCTAGTCTATTAGGTAATAAAAAGAACAAAACAAATCACTGTCAATTTTCTTGCCTTATATATTGACAGTATTTTCAAAATTGGCAGGATACATTTAAAAAAATTTTGTATTTTTTTAGGGGGGGGGGTTACATCTTAATAGATAGTGCACAGCAGAAGGAACTAAAGTATTACTGGAGAGCTCAGTTAATTTGTTCCAAACTTGAAATCCTTTCACGGAGGCCTCTGGGCTGTTTATACATCGGGCAAGGATTTCAAATCCAAACGGTCACTTGCTTCTGTGGCTGCATGCAGCCAGCTTGGCTCGCCACCACCCAGTCTCAGGAAAGCCTTCCTGCAGCCTGCCAGCCCTCAGCTCCCCAGAGGCTCACAGCGGCTCCAGGAATCCACCTGAACAAAGCATCCTGTAGGCTGTTTGGTTGGTAGACAATGAAGGATGAGTTGATATTGCTTCCTATCCTGGAGGAGGTCTTGCCCAGATGAAAAGGCAAGAAGAGATGCCCGATAGGGGAGGCCCTAGCAAAAGAGGGGAAAAGACAAAGAGCCATCCTGGAAAGGCGGATTTAATGAACTGTTAGAATCTGATTAGAGGCTAATGTCCCTTTCAGTACTTTGTGCCAATTTACAGCTGATATACTTTAACCATTTTCCCCACTGGCTGTGATAAACTCATTAGTTTAAAAAATGCAAGCTAACCGGAGTGTTTGAAGTCAAAACCAGATAAATCAGGAAATCCTGACTGGGTCCATGTTCCATTTAGCCCATTTAAATAAAATCACTATATTTTCATGATGGTTTTTAAGTTTTTATTGTTGTTCTTGAATAATCTGACATGTGTTAAAATCAGAATGTACATTTTAGTTCCAAGTAAAAGTAGGGAAAAAAACTCACATTCTAAATTTTTTTTAAGATATCGAGGTTTCCTGGAAATATTTCTCTGATTTCTAAAATCATTTACAGCCACAACCATAATAAACACCATAAATAACAATGTTCACAGCTGGGGAACTAAGCCTTAACTGTTAAACTCCTTCAGCTAGTGCAGATTCAATCTGTATATATGCCTGAAAGTTACGTTGTAAATGTATGTGAAGCATATTAATCTCCGCATTCATGATTCTAGCCCCATTAGCATAAACATAAGCACTGAGTATCACAACATGTTTCCAAACTATCTAGAAAGGTACACGGTTTCTATACAATACATGGTAATTATACAGCATTGACAACATAGTCCTTGAAACAAAATATTGATTTATCTGACTAAGCTAAGATCAGACACATGATCTCAGATGACTGTAGACTTTAAATATGTAATAGGTTCTAATAATTTGGAATTGTTGTCAAACATATCTTGCCACAATCTTAATCAAAATACATTTGCTGCTGAATCAATAGCTCAACTGATTCCCAAGAGGTAAATAAAATTACAGACTCATCAATTTTAGGATGGCGGTACTCACTGTATATTTATGCTGCTACAAACATTTTCATATTATATAATCCTCAGAATTATAATTTGTGTATATACATATACATACACATACACATATATACACACATGTGCGTACATGTTGCTCGTTTCATAAGTAAATTTTATTAATCAATGCAAAATTATTCACTTAGGATTTGTAAGTTGGCTGTTGACCAATTCCATGCGCACTGGATGAACAATGGCACTCTGTATATTCCCATTTGCCAAGTAGGACCTGGCAACACAGTAGTCCAGCAGACAGTAGCTCTCCTGGTCAAAAACCACATAAGCACAATAGTCATTGATCCCAACATCTCAGAATATTCTGAATGGAAATGTGCAGTAAGGAGAGGAACTGATCTTCAATGACCATAATTCATAAAACATACAATGGGGGTGACTTTCCAGGTCAATTCCTACAATTTACCCTCCTACCCCAACTAAGATAGGTCTTTTCCTTTCTCTCCTCCTGCCTGTGGGTTATTCTGCACAATTGTTATAACAAGCAGCTAGCTAGTCAATATTCAACAGTCCGAACTTTTAAACAAGGTTTCCTTTCCTAAGTCAAACAGAACTGCTGGTATTTGTTTTGCTTTCCGTGGTTACAGGACATATTTACTTAAATATGTATCCATCTTAAACCTTCATGTTTAGCTACAGGTGAAGAGAAACAGGAATATGCCACCCCTGCCCCACACCCATGTTATATTAAACAGTGATGTAAGGGACCTATGAATAGTGATTCAAGATTCATTGCACCAAGCTGATTGAAGCACTTTCATACCAGATTCTTAGATTTACAATGCAAGCGTGCCAACTGGTTAAAAGTATCATATTGTGGTCCCTTTTCCTACAGAAAAAGCAACAGAATCAGACTAGAGAGAAATTAGGGTTTTGCATTTAAAACAGACTTAAGAGAAGTCCATCTCTCCTCTTTCTTTGACTCACCTCTACAACAGCAAATAACAAAACAGTAACAACAGCAATTTTTTTCAAGCCCTACCACAGATGTGCCAGTTCAACTAACAGGTTAACAACTAATTCCAAAACCTGTGCTCAACATAAGAGAGTTTGTGAATCCCTCCCTCTCTTTCTGAATAACTATTAACAAACCTACTAGACTGGAATCATGCTTAGGTAATGATTTTGGTTATCTATTTCTATGCAACAAATCATGTAGTGGCATGAAACAACAATCATTTTATTATCTCGATAGCAGCAACATTAATAATACAAATATTTGTGTGTTAAGATTAAACTACTCATTTAATCCTCCAGCAACCCAAAATGTCAATACTTTATTTATCTTAAGTTCAGGAATCTGAGGCACAGGTTAAATTGCTCAAAGTCACACAATTAGTAAGTGATACAGCTTTGTCCCAAATCCAATGAGTTGGACCCCAATCTTGCACTTTTAACCACTATCGTCTATCTACCTACCTACCCAAATACCCACCCATCTCTATATCAATATGCATTACCAATATAAAAATTGGAAAAAATATGAGCACCTTATCAAAGCTCCCAGCACAGGAGCTTTGGAATCTCAGTAAGAGTTCCTTCCAGGGCTGAGCTGACTTAGTCATGGAATTGACTGTGAAACTTTTGGTGAGTATCAACATTTTGGGGAATAATAATATTAAGTCAAATCAGCCTCTAGTTTCTAAGCTGTTTCACATTTTTTTCAAGTCAAGTTTCAAACACAATTTAAATTGATGAATTTTCTATCCTTAAAAACATCATTATTAATTTAGCAAGTAATTTCATTTGTTATCCAGTGTTTTTAAAATATTTGCATCTTTGGTGAACATTTTCCATATTTTCACAACAGTTTCATGTACTTGGGTGATACAGTAACTTCATCTTCTACATTTTACACTCAGGACAGATGCATCTTGGAATTACATTTAATTTATAATTAATAAGATTAAGTGTAAAAAAGCATAGTTTTCTATGCTAACATATCTTCGCACTGATAACTCAATTTTGAGAAGATATATAAATGATCAAAGTACCAGGAATGGTACAAAATAAACATCAGTTCAAACACAGACTTTGCCATAATATCCCAGCTTTTCATCTTTCATTTCTTTGCAGGTTGGGAGAATGGTTATTACATTCATGATTTTTTTATTAACAGAACTAGGAGCCCAAACCATACACCTACTGGAACCCTCAACTTAAATCCCCTTAATGGTTTCAGTGATCCATCCATACATTATTCTGAAATATCGATCTTCAGTCTCAAAAACAAAACCCTCCCATAAAAATCCTCACATTGAAACATGGAATTATAAAACTGTATGTGTAATACAGCAATTATATTTTCCTGATAGCAAGGATCATTTTGTTTCATTAGTAAAGTGCTAAAGTACCACAACAATGTATAGTTTACACTACCATTTTAGAAATGTTTTCTATAAGTGATAGTTGCTAAACCAGCCACGAGAAACAGACATTCTCATTCAAGTTGCAAATGGATGCTTTCCAAAGGGGCAACCAACCCAACCCAGACTGAAAGCCAATTATTTACTAATGGCATTTCCAAAGGACCTCAATACAGTTTGAGAAATTACAACAGATGCATGCCTTCTTTTCTGTGCAAAGCATGGTTAAAAAAGCATTGTGCAAAGCATGGTTAAAATAACATCTGAGCCTCCGAATAACACTCTTTACCCCAGCATTAACACAAATTATAATACAAAAGTATTTCTGTTGTGCATACTCTGAAAAACTGTACACACTTGGGGACTGTGGGTTGGCCAAATCTTTCTATAAACATACAGTGAGGGCCTCTGCTGTATCGAAGTCATTCCATTCCATCCACACCGCATTCATGTACCAGGAGGCACCATGGGAGAGGCCAGAGGCAAGCCAGGGATTGGGGAACAAGAGTGGTCAGAAAGCAGGACAACATCATAACAAGAGAAATACCAACCCACAGCCAGCCAAACCCTAGAGAGGGAAGACAAAACTTCAGCTCAGTGAGAGAGCCTATATGTGGGAGCAGGTAATAGGGTGTCAGGATGAACCAACAAGTATTTTTTTTTTAATTCACAACTATTTATTTAGTGCCTAACGTCTACAAGATAATGCAGAGATGCTTTATAAAATGAAAAGCAGAATTTGAAATATGCTCCAGACATACACACGAATAGATAATCATCACATTCAAAACTTCTATACTAATACTTGCTGGTCAACATTTAATCCCTTTTTCTAATTAATGTTGAATCATTATAAATTGTTCTATGATTCATAAAATGGTAACTATTCCTTTCTTTTCTGAATATTTACACCATAAGCTTATATCTACAGATTTTAGCTATAAAGACAGAGGAGTTACCTCCCACACATTCTTTTTTGTAGACTGAGGTTTATTTTTATGCGGATATTCTAAAAGATGTGTGTTATATGGCAAAGGTTGCTTAACAGAAATGAATTATTTGACATTTGGGGCTATTCCAGGGGCAGCTACTGGGTGCTTTTCAAAAGATCCTCAGAGAGCCTACAACTGCATTTCTTGATATGAAAGACAGAAGCTCAGGTGCAAAGTCTCTGGAGCAGACATACTGGGGAAAGTACAGACATTGGACCCACTGACAGTTCTTCAAATGTGTGCCTCTAATATCCATGACCAAGAAAATCCCCACTCAGCAGAATTTGGGTGTCATATGGAGAATATTTTGGGGAATAGCGCTCACAGAGCAATGCATTCACTCTCTCAAACTTAAAAGTCCAGGGTCCAAGTTCTGAAGATAACAGGGTTGATGGATTCTTTGCAAACACTCAGATCCCATAATTTTCACTCCATACTTCTTCCTCCCAATAGGAAGGCCAGAAGCTGAAAACACAAGTATGCAGCTAAAATTTCTGAGCCCCTAGATTTCCTGGGACCTGTCGTGACTGGTGCCCTCAGGCTGACGGGACTGGTCACCTTCACTGGGAAGCTCAGATCCTCAGGGTTGTGCAGGGAACAGCTTTCCGCTCCTGGCAAGCTCTTGATGAGGCACTAGTGTCCAGAGTTACCAATAGGGCCTCAGCCCCTTCCATCAGAGGGACATGAAGTTCCTGGTGCACAGTGGAGTATGAGAACCTCCACTGGGCTGCTTCTCCACAGGGGAGGCAACAGGAGTGACTCCAGCACTTGGCAGGGGACATCTGCTCCTTCTGGAGACTGACCCACCACCATGGAGTCCCCCTCCTGCGTGGGGCTCATGTCTGGCCCCTGCTCAGTTCTCTCCATCTACCACATGCATCCACAGAACAGCCTTCTGGAGAAGGAGAAGAAGGTAAAGGGGGAAGACAGCCTTCCAACCAGTGGGGCTGAAGTCTACTAAAAGCAAGAGAGAAGTGAGTTAAATCCTGAAAAATGAAGCCAGAAAAAAGATTTACTCCAGGAAACAGGGTCTACCCATGACAGAGTCTAGAGCTAGGAAGCAAGAGTAGAGATGAATCAGAAAGCTACCTAGGTGCTCCAGCCCAGTCCTCTAGCCCTTCTTCCCTGGGCACACACACGCAGAGCAGAAACCAGGCACCATGAGCCTGGGCAGAAGGGCTGATGTAGACAGGCCCCACCGTGGAGAATCAGGAAGAAAGAACACTTGCAACGCAACCACAACATCATCACCTGGCTTCCTAATTTAAAAAATTATGATAATTATCCACAGCATTCAATGAACAATTACGTACAAAGTGTCATTTCATATGCTTTACATTCATGACGTCATTCATACATTGATTCATTCAAAAACTACTTATTGAGGACCAGTCACTGTTCCAGTTATTTAGGATATACCAGTGAGCAAGACAGAGAAAGTGTTGTGGGGTTTCATCCTAGTCATTTAATCTCCCAACATTTTTTTTTTTTACTACGTCTGTTTTAGACGAGAAAATCATTAAAATTCAGAGAGAGTAAATAGTCCACCCAAGATAATGACAATGATAAGCAGTCTAATTTTGGGGTGAAAATCTATTTTTCATTGCTTCTGGGGATGGAAATCTTCAGCCGCAGGATACTCAGACACTGCCACAAAGAAAGCTGTGTATGCCCAAGAGCTGTG